AGGGTCCAGAGAAGAGCAACAAGAATGATTAAAGGTCTTGAGAACATGACCTATGAAGGAAGGCTGAAAGCATTGGGTTTGTTTAGTTTGGAAAAGAGAAGACTGAGAGGGGACATGTTTTCAGGTATCTAAAAGGGTGTCATAAGGAGGAGGGAGAAAACTTGTTCACCTTAGCCTCTAAGGATAGAACAAGAAGCAATGGGCTTAAACTGCAGCAAGGGAGGTCTAGGTTGGACATTAGGAAAAAGTTCCTAACTGTTAGGGTGGTTAAACACTGGAATAAATTGCCTAGGGAGGTTGTGGAATCTCCATCTCTGGAGATATTTAAGAGTAGGTTAGATAAAAGTCTATCAGGGATGGTCTAGACAGTATTTGGTCCTGCCATGCGGGCAGGGGACTGGACTCGATGACCTCTCGAGGTCCCTTCCAGTCCTAGAATCTATGAATCTATGAATTATTTTGAGTAAGTTCTATGGGCCTGTGTTATACAGGAGGTCAGACAAGATGATCACAATTGTCCCTTCTGACTTTGGAATCTCTGAATACTCATGGACCAAGATTTCCTAGGTGGGATGTAATGGGGGAAACATGGTCCATAAGAAGGAAAAAGCAACTTCATGTTTGGCCAGTTTAACTTTGGGTTTTGGACACTAGAGGCAGGAGTTGTGGAAGGAAATGGCAAATATCATGCATCTGGTCTACAACTTGGTTTTATGGAAAAGAAGAGGGTAGGCCCTGTTAGCAGACTTGTAACCCATATTATTATGTTTTTATTTCTATAGTATCATAATTCTGTAGGTCACAGGCCAAATAAACATAGAAGACGTGTCCCTGCCCAACCAACTTACAAGGCCTTCTCCCCTGGAAACATTGCTGAAATGTGGAATTCTGATTTTATGTAAATTACATGACCGCCTGCCTTTAACAGGTAATTCTCGGGTAAATGCCACAATACAGTAGTCTGAGCTACATGCAGGCATTGTTGGCAGTGTGCTCTGGTGTTGACTTGTGCCTGTGCACATACTGGACATCCAGGTTTCCCTTTAAAAAGTTCATAGGTTTGTTTAGTTTCTGTCTCCACTGTATTCGTTAATTGTTTGTTAATAGTTTGGGCGTTAATGATATGTAGACATTTAGTTCCAGTTTGTTTGGCCCTTTGCCCTGGAGAAAGCTTTTGAAAGCAGAGCTGTTTTTCCTGAGGAGTAAGACCTGCCTACACTAATGACCCTTGTTTTGTCTCCTCTGCTTTTTTCATCTTCCCATCTCAAGAGTTAACTAGAAACAAAAGCTGGCAACTCATCCTGGAATGAGGCTGTTATGAGATTTCAGTACAATGTGATCAAATTAAAAGGGAATGAACTAGGGGAGCTTCCTATCCCACTGTTCTAGGTATCGTGTATCTTTGTATTGGGTTTTTCTTGTTTTCAATATTAATTTCAAGGGTGCTTATAAATGAAAAAAAAATGTCTGTGTCCTTTTGCTGCTTTGATGTCTTATTTTTCACACACAGAAATGTAGCTCTTGTCTATGCTAACCCAGTTTTTTCCTGAAAAACGCTGACCAACTGAAGAAACAGTGGGATTATATCACATCAGATAACAAGCAACTGAAACTTGATTAATCTACTCAAACTTGTTACAACTCTTTGGTTCAACTTTTTGGCCTTGTTAAGGCTTCTTTGCAATGCCCCAGTGACAACGCAGCTTTAAATGGATGGTTACTTGAACTGGTTGGGTTGGCATAGCAGTTCCTATTGCACCTTCTTTCACACCCTGATGTAGGGAGAGCAATCAGACAGCAGCTATGTCCATCTCATGATACCCCAGTTGCCAAATGGGCCCATAAGGAGCCACTGTTCCTTGTGCAATTTAGAGAACCCCTGAGGCTGCCCTTAAATTGTGCCTCAGGACTTGACTCTGTGTTTGGCAATGCCAGGATCAGGGTGCTGTAAAGGTGGCTTTAAACTGAGGTTTGTGAACGCAAACACCCTCATTGAAGTGTGCAGTGGTGATTACATATGCAAGTCAGGTATGAGCAAAAGTATGCATTTGAAGTTTTGGCCAGGCTGTACAGTGTGCTGCTTGTGTAATTGTGATCACCTTATTGGGGGAGAGGGGGAAATAACAATGGATTTTGCATGTAAATACAAGACTTTAATTTTTAAACTCCAAGACACTTCTTGGTCACAGCATGCTGCCCTAAACTTAGATAGTGTCAAATGCGTACGGGTCATACCCCCAACTCTGTTCTATGAGTGGGACGAAACTGACATGCACAGGAATCCTCAGTTTGTGGTGGTGATGTCTTTGGTTTCTTTCCCCAAATGCTTCTGAGGCTGACTGGGAACATGTGATAGGTGTATTGCATGGATTATGGAAATGCTTAGTGTCCTGAATTTGCTTTTCCAGGTCCCCAGAATTGGTTTTCCAGCCTCAAGGTGATTGCAATGTTTGTCTTTCTCATTCTTAGAGGTCAGACAGGAAGCTTGAAGAAAATACTAATTTACATTTTGTTTTGCTTGACAAAGTTTAGCATGGTACAGTAACTTATTATGCAGATATAGAGGTAGTAACATAGCACAAAAGTACAGAAATGAAGTGGGCACTGGCAAAAATATTCCATTACTGATTGTACAAATCAATCTGGAAAAAGCATCCTCAACACCTTGAATTTCCCATGCTATTTCTGTGGGATACATAATTCACAATATCACTGGCATTATAAGGAAAGTGTACTTAATTGAAACCATTCTTTGAAAGTTTTATTAATTGCTAACAAACTGGGATTAGATCACAACCAGACCATAACTGTAATTAAACACCTATGAGAAAAAACAATGTTCTGACCAATCTAAACGCCAAGAGTCAATATATAAAGTCAGTAAAACACTGAAGCAAATACAACCCCCATCCCCTTAGGAATATTGTAATAGTCTCGTTGTTTAACTCTGTCACTCTCAATTCACCTGAGGCAGGAGAATATCCTACAGGCTGTACTTTATGTTGTTGCATTTGTTCTAGGACAAGAGTTGCAGAGTAGAGAGGTGAAAAAGAAACAAAAATACAGATATTTGAGATTAGACAAGGAAATATTGTGGAAGCAAGAGAAGTCATCCTGTTGTTGTAATGCAGAGAGATGAGCTATTTTCCTGCATTGCACTTCACAAGGACATTCAGAATGAAAATGTACTAATTTACAGTCATCACTATCATTGTGCAGGGAAAAATGCTTTTTAATGCTAGTGTAGAAATAGGGGATTGGCTCCGTGATCAGAGCCATTACAACTATTGCAACTGAATCACTGACCAAGGGCCACATCGATGGTCTCAAAGCCCTTAACATAGGCAAACTTGTCACAAGAGAAGTCCACCTGCAGCTGCATCGCACCGCTTCTGTGGGGTGTGAATTCAAAGTAAATCTTTGATCGCTCCCTGGGTGCCAGTGCTGCCACACTAAAACAAAGAAAACATCAGTGAGTTCAGGCTCAGATAGGAAACTTTCCTATTATGTATCCCAGAGAGGCCCAAGGAACAAGCTAAATTGGAAAGGAAAAGCAAGGCCACCTATAACTGTCACACCAAAGAGACAATTTGAAGTATCTGAGGGCCAGCCCTGTTTCCTGGGAATTAGTTGGGACTCAAGGCACTTGTGTGAATCAGGAAGCAATAAGAAATGCTAGATTTATAAAGGGAAAGAGATGAGAGGGCGGACAGTGCTACTGCACATCTCCATATTTGGATGCAATACAGAGCTGTCAACTGTCCAATTTTGAGATTGTTGATTTGGGTCCTCAAAATGGGCAAAAACTCATATTGTCAAGAGCCCCTTCCTCCTCCCCCCCAGTTGCCAGGCACCTGTGTTACTGACACCCCATCATCATCGCCTAGGGGCAGACGTGTGGAGGGGTTTGTTTTCTTTCCCCTGAACTGGGCTGGTAATTCAGAGGCAAGAGTTTCCAGGGACCCTCTGTGGAATTTCATTTTACAGACCCCTGTGGATTACTAAGGGGACTTTTATAGTTCCCACAGGAAGCATAAGCCAGACCAGCTCATGGTAAAACATGCTGTTAGTCCCAGTATGGAATATTGAACATTGTGGATTCCTCACTGAAAAGCTCAAAAAGTCAATGACCAGCAAAACAATAATTAATGGGGCATTCTGCTCACATGCTTTGCAAAGGCACAATTTTCCCCCAGGTTCCCATTCACCAATATGTATTTATTTTAAGGGAAGTCAAAGCAACCCTGCTTGCTTATGCTGGGAGGAAGAAAGCTATGGCAGGCTTTTATCTATCTACTGTATCTTGGACTCATCACTGTACTATCTGAGTAGCTCCCACACATTTAAAAGCAGAAATACAAAGCCCTGGTCTAGGTGCCGCACTGAAGACTCGCCCACCTGCTCCACCACACTTCCTCTTCAATTTTTTTAAACGAAAAGTCAAGAATAACAAATAAATTTCACCTGAAAATGGGAAATCTCCAAAAGTTTTACTTCTGTTTCATGTCTTGCACTAAAGATTCCTGATGGACTGAAAACCGCAAAGTCCCATGTTCAAGACCTGATGGCACACTGAGAAGAACACACCCAGCAGATCTGGGCATTGTTCTTCATATGTATTTCCTAAGACTTGCAGTTTCATACTTAGTTTAAAATGCACGTTGAAGATGGAATGTAAGTGTTCTAAGTCTTGCTCACCAAGAAACCAAGGTCAGGACTCTGTCAGTCTTTTATCAAAAGTGATGGACAGATGACGCCCCTTTTACTTACTCTATCTTGACCTCTTGATTCATCAGTTTCACCAGCACCACACAGTCCTTCACTGGCTCCGGGAGAGGATTGGCATACGAGATCTCTACAGTAACAAGATTGTTCACCACAACCTGTGCAGGAATCTAAATGGGGGGACAAACATTTCTGATGATTCACAGTTCTTATGCTCTCTCCTCCCCCCCTTGCAGGACATTTACTTGTGAACAGCCAAAGGTGTTAACCTTTTCAGGAGGTGTCAGACACTCTCCCAGGAATGGAGTGGCAGACATAATGCTGATGTGGGCAGAGCATATTTCTCCTTCAGGGGATGGATGGGCTATAGGTAGAACTATGGAATTTAGCTTTTGGTTGATGTGCATCTCCCCTTTCCTGCCTTTCCTTGGTGCTGAAGCTGGGCTGTATTAGCTGTGCGGTTGAGCGGAGGCAGGGAAATGTATATATTTTAAAAGATTCGAGGCTCAGATTTACTCAGACATGTCTTTTTAAATCGGTTTGTCCTTTAGTTTGCTGCCTGATTTTCTGAAGTACAATGAGCACTGAACACGCTCTTGATAGTGATTAAAGATGCAAAGCAGTATAAATCAGCCTTCATGTTAGTGTGAATTCAGGCCCCAAGTTTATTTCAGGTCAGGGCAATGTCATTTGAGAGCAGCCAGAAAACTACAATAATTAAAGTAAGAATGGAAAATTTATAACTAATCCAAAACAAATGATCTGATGGCACTTGACTTGGAAGATGACTTGGCAGGGAAAGTGCCTGGCTACATTTGTACTACAGAAGAGAAAACACAAGTGGTAAATAAACACGGAGAGTCAGGGCAAAGTTTCAAAAGTGGCCTCTGATTTTTTCATTCCCAGCTTGACATCATAAGGGTTCTCAAACTGGGCAACATGAACTCAGTAGCCACTTTTGGAAAACTTGGTCTGGATTTTCACACTTGATCCTAGAATTCCCATAAGAACATAAGAATGGCCATACTGGGTCAGACCAAAGGTCCATCTAGCCCAGTATCCTGTCTTCTGACCATGGCCAATGCCAGGTGCCCCAGAGGGAATGAACAGAACAGGTAATTATCAAGTGATCCATCCCCCGTCACCTGTTCCCAGCTTCTGGCAAACAGCCCATCTTCTGAGCTGAGCTCCAGCCACAGGACTCTGTGAGAACTCTTCCATTTGCTTTCCATTATGGTCAGCAGGGAGACAGTTCTTTACCTTGATGAAGATGGTTGGAGTCTCTAAAGTGATGGTCTTCTCCACCAACATCTTTGCCTCCTGTGTGTGCATGACTTCACACAAGGCAGTCACTAAGATCTTTTTATCATCAGTCAGGGACTTTTCATACTGGGCATAAGAGATCTTTAACTGAATCTGTTTCTCTGAAATGCAAACATATTTGGAAAGTATCAGACTCCAGTAATTTCACAGATGCCCCGGGTGACTTTGTTTTTAGTCTTCTCTGTAGTATGTGTTTACAGGCTGGCACAGACAGAGGATGTTTGGTTCCATATGAATCTCTTGCCTGCAAGCCCCTGCTCTGCATCACTCCTTGCTGGCTGCTGCAGATAGTTCTGCTATCTGGTACAAATTCTATTTTGCTTCCTCAATCTAACCCTACTCTCTTCAATAGAGAGTACACTGGTGAAACTGAAAGCAGAATTTGGCCCTCTACATTTAATTGTATACCTGTCCTTATATTACTGACAACTGGCTGGGTAAGACATTTGGTTTATCCCTCCATGCATCCTTTTCTAGATTTTACCTCTGCTGACTGGGTGAAACATTGGTCCAATTATCACAAGGTCCCTTGTAGAGTAGCCCAATCCCCTTCCTCATTGTCTCGTTCCTTACAGTTTTTCTGCTATGTATGGGAAAAGAATAGCTTCTCCCTCTGCAGCCCTCTGGGGTGAAGAAGTTCTGTATATCTTGCACTTGTTTTATTAACCCTAACCTTGTTAAGGAGACATGGAGCTTTGCTGAAAATTTTACTGTATCCTAATTTGTTTTTACTGCATGTACACCCTCTTCCGTTAAATTCTCTTCAGTGATCCCTGTTGACTGAGAAAGAGAGAGAACATAGCCTAGTCTTACAACACTCTTACCCATTAGCCCACCACAGAGAGAAATTCTTTTATGGGTATCATCTTTTTTTTTTAACACTATAATCATCATGCTAGTAAAGGATGGACAAGCAGATTTTGTTACCTTCTTTAGAACCAAGATCAATAGATGTGGCTGCCTGCAAGATCTCTGCCACTGCTCTCCTTGTGTACAGGATGGTTGATGCACTCAGGTTCACCTTTACAGGTTTATATTCAGAGGACAGGTTGGTGAGAATTAAGATTAGGTTGATATCTTTGCCAAACACCGGGGGTTCAACTAGCTTGAATACCCCAGAGACCTCAGGTTTTCTAACTGTTTCTGATGATCCCTCATTAGGAGCTTCTGAGAGTCTTTCTGTGAGGTTTAAGCCGCGTGCCTTAGCACAGGCCTTTTTATACACCTCTCTTTCCTCGTGAGAGCCTGGATGAAAGGGAAACATCAGTAAATTTCATAGCCATGTCTCCATTACACAGTCCCTAGATTAAGGTTATAAAGAGAGTCCAGTATATCAGCTCTGCACTATCCACCAACCTGAGGTACCTGCAGATCCACTTGTATAGTAGCTCCCTGGATCTGGGATTTGCACATCTACGTATTTGTGATACAGTGAAATGATAACAGTCACTAAAATGAAGCACATTGTCTTCCTGCTAATTGCTGGTTCATAGGGCTCCTATTGTCTCCTGTCTTTCACCACAGTATGCAATAGGATTTTTCTCTGTAACTCTGCAGGCCCTTCTGATAACTAACTTCTACACTATTTATAGTAGCATTAAAAACATCCTGAGCAAATTTCCAGAAGTGGCCACTGATTTTAGGTGCTCAACTCAGGACGCTTTCATCTGAGCATCTCCAGCTCCCATTAACTTCAGTTCATGCTTTAAGTGCTCAGCACTTGTGAAAAATCAGATTCCAGGTGTTTGAAGTCAGGTATCCAAACACTAAAGCACCCAATATCAGTGGCCACTTCAGAAAATGTGTCTGTAAATCACTGATGTCATAGCATTAGCATGATTTAAAGCCACAAAAGCCAGGAAGCTAGCCAGTTATCAGAAAAAAGTTGCCCCCTCTTAGCTCAGCACAGCATTTCTTGACAGTCTGAATGTTCATCCTATGAGCATTTCATGCCACGAATAAACTGAACTGTATTTTGTGACAAATAAACTTCTAATTGCAGTATTCCAGAGCTATCATGCAGACAAATGACAACATTTATGATACAAGCTATGTGGGGGATGATACACGTGCTCAGCTTTTAAACCTGTTTCCATTTAGTTTAATACAGTTTTAATCCTTAAAAATCATTCCTCGGATGAAAATGCTTGACTGTTTTCTGTGAGTTTGTTACTGCTGGAAGTCAAGGAGGTTCACAGCAGCATGGAGCACAGAAAGGCTCAGACTCTTGTCGGGCGTAGGTTTGATTCCATCTCTCCACTGGGGGAAACCATGCTGGTGTCCTGCCTGTGCTCTATTATTGTTTGTTATGTGTATTGCAGCAGTCCCCAGAGGCCTCTGTCAGGATCAGGGCCCCACTGTGCCGTAGAAACATATTGTTAAGACAGTCCCTGACCTGAATCACTTAACAATTGTATTTAAGACAAGATGAAACAAGTGGGTGTAACAAACATTTGGAGGGAGGATCAGGGTATAAGTGATGTGAACGTGTGGCTACACAGGCCACAATTAGAAGACAGTGTTTTGTGAGGGACTGGGGATGTTAAAATATAAATAAATGCAACTTGACGCCCATTACTACTTCTCCATCCGTCTATAAGGCCAGAACCACAAGGTGGAGACAGGGCAGCCAAGAGTGAATGTGCACAGGAGTGTCTGGGAGTCAGAGGGGGAAATGAGCCCGTGGCTACAGGTAGGCAGACAAGGAGAAAGAGGGATGATTCACTTCGAGGAAGGGTGAGGTGTCGGGGAGTGGTGGTGACATCTTTCTGATGAGGAAAGGGAGAAAAGGGGCTAGTGGGACGGATCTGGTGAAGTCATAGGGTAGAAGGGTGACTGAGGAACTGAAACGAGTATTTACCCATCTGAATCTCCTCATATCACAGTTGTTAACGTGTTAAACTTTGCTCATTCAAAGTGAAACCATGGAATTGTCCCAGTTGTAAAGCAGAATTAATGACCGATGGAAACAAGCAGAATGATGTTCCTGTGGAACCCTCAGAATTTCAGGATGTAGCTAGTGCATGAGGCTGCCTGCGAGGATCCAGTTCCTGTCATAGCTAATAGCATGGGTGGAACCTGGACATAGCCAGTGCCTTGGTGGCACAGAGAGGTCTAGAGATTTCTTATGTAGCTGGTGGTGTAGATGGGACTCAGTTTCAATGATATTAGTGGTGTCTTCTACAATCATTTTTTTGACTTCAGTTTTCAGGAAATTTTAATTGCTGGTTTGCTTTGGATGGCAAAATGTATCTGTCAACTCTATGAAACAATTTATTGCAGAATATTGGCCAGTGCATTTCCTGCTAAAGATTCTATCCAGCGCACAACACCATGAACGTGTTACCCATTGTTTTATGAAGCAAGACTGAAAACAGTATTGCCAGGAATATTGTTCCAAATGAAGTAGAGAAGTGATTAAAGCAAAATATGCAACCAGTCCTAACCCTCCAGTGCCAAGAACCGCAAGGGGAAATTAATTGTGATAGTTTTCCTTTACCTTCTGGATATTTATAATTGTTAGTGACATCCACACGGGAATTGCTGCCCACAGCTTTGGTGCTGATGGCCTTGCCAATACTCTCAGTGTTACAATACACTTTTTTCCTGGTTCCATCTTTGTAGACAATCCATTGGTTGCAGTCAGCATTCACCTCCGTAAACACAAATAGGGTGTCATAGTCCAAGTCTACATCACCTTCTTTGATGGCTCTGACAGAAGCAGGACCGCACTGAAATATCCCTAGGGCATGAAGAAAAATCAGCAACCTTATTAGGCACTTTGAGTCTCAGCAAAGGGACATAATTTCATAAGAGGAACTTTATCTGTTACCTTTGCTTTGCTCTTGCGGAGTTGAATCTAGAACCTGCCATCCACTGTATGGTGTTCCCAAGTCTCTTCGAATGAACCAAACTTCGTTCCAGACATGATAATCCCTGAAGGTGAGAATGAACAGAGGTGCGGTTCAAAAGAAAGGCAAAATCCAGCCAATCAGTCTAATGATGGGATTATGAAGAGATCCTTCGGAGGACCTAAATATTACCACTCTGGGCACAAGAATGGAGTACGATGCTTTTAAGGTGTTGCTGAGATGTAACATTGAGTCTCTTGGGATTGTAACAGAACATGATGGCTTCCCTAAGGGAAAATGATACTATCTGGGTATTCCTGGGGTTCAGCCTTTAAGAAAGAGCATCCTGGGAGGGACAGTGACCCAGAGTAGTCGTGTGACTACTAGGACTATATAAGAAAGCATCTGTAACTCGGTTAGGGAGTCTCCAGGTGGAAACATGACCTGGAGGGTGGCTCTCAATTAAGGAAGCTGGGTAAACGTTGGCCGAGGAGGGGCTGTAAGGGAAACCTGCAGGGAGGAGGAGGCACCCGCAGAACTAGAAGGTGAAACCTGGGGAAGGGGTTCTCTGTTGAGAGAACAGGAGTACTTGTGGCACCTTAGAGACTAACAAATTTATTAGA